GACAATTGGCCAGTTTCTCCAAGAGGCGATCATGGGACACCAGATCGAAGGCTTTTTTGAAGTCAAGATATATGACATCAATCTCTTCTCCCTTGTCCAGGTGATAGGTCATCTGTAGGAGGATGAACATTTCCAACTAGAACAGAGCCAAGAAGAAGGGTTTTGGTATGCCTTCCAAGAACACCTAGCCCAGCAGAATGGGGAAGTGCTAAGACCTGAGTTGATGCAGACCACCCCGAGGTTTGAGGTGAAAAATGATTTGCTGTATAGAGTGGAACAAAACAAACATGGGGAAGGGGAAGTAGAGCAATTACTAGTGCCTCAGCGATATTGAAAGGCCCTACTGAAAGCAGCACACGAACTCCCTATGGGTGGACATTTGGCGCAGACAAGACTGAGGCTCATATTAGGGGAAGATTCTTTTGGCCAGGGTTAATACAGGAAGTGGCCAGATACTGTTCCTCCTGCCCTGTATGTCAAAAAGTGAACCCCAGTTGTCCTCCAAGAGCCCCATTAGTACCACTGCCATTGGTGGAAGTACCATTTGAATGGGTGGCCATGGACATTGTGGGACCACTACCAAAAAGCAGTGCAGGACACCAATTTATTTTGGTCCTAATAGACTATGCGACCAGATATCCAGAGGCAGCACCTATGTAGATGGTGTCTACCCCCAAGGTGGTAGAAGAATTATTAAAGATATTTTCCCGAGTGGGGCTTCCCAGAGAATTGTTAGCTGACCAAGGAACTAACTTTACATCTCGTGTGTTCGAGGGGGTGAGTAAAACACTGGGAATCAAACACCTAAGGACGGCAGTATACCATCCCCAAACTGATGGATTAGTGGAGTGATTCAACAGGACATTGAAACAAATGCTAAAAAATTTGTGGTAGAGAGTCCCCAGAAGTGGGACCAAATGATACCGCCTTTGTTGTTCACAATAAGAGAGGCACCGCAGGCCTCAACAGGGTTTTCCCCTTTTGAACTGTTATACAGACGACAACCAAGAGGAGTTCTGGATTTGGTTAAGGAAAGCTGGGAAGAGCAACAAAGTAAAGATCAGAATATAGTTCAGTACATAATACAACTGAGAGAATGCCTGGAGTCAGCACAGAGAGAAGTCTTAGGAAATCTGAGGGAGGCCCAAGAGCGGTAAGCAATCTATTACAATTGAGGGGCTTGGGAGAGGAAGTTCTAATTGGGAGACCACGTACCGGTCCTCTTGCCGGATCAGGAGAGTAAGTTGCTAGCACAATGGCAAGGCCCTTATGAAATAACACGCCAAAATGGGGCGTAGATTATGAGGTATATCAGCCAGACAAACAAAAGAAAAAACAGATATACCATGTTAACATGCTAAAGCCGTGGCAAGAACGAGAGGGCCTGTATGTGGCCCTCCAACCAGAAGAGCCAGAGCTAGGACCCTGTCTGGGAGAGAGAAGGGGGAGGTGAAGTGAAAGTGGCTCCCTGATTCTCTGAAGAGCAGAGGCGGCAGGCAAGAGAATTGGTGAGGGAATATGGAGACGTGTTCCAAGAGGTCCCCGGGGAAGCTTGAGGCATGATACATCGAATACAGACCCCTCCAGGTCAGGTGATCCGCAAGAACTGGAGGCGAATCCCACAACAACTCCAAGGCCAGATAAAGAAGGAACTTGGGATGATGTTAGAGAGAGGCATAATCCAAGAGTCTCAAAGTGAGTGGCGCAGCCCCATTGTGGTCGTGCCAAAGCCAGATGGAAAAATTAGGCTCTGTATCAATGTCTGAAAGGTGAACGCAGTGGCCAAGTTCGAAGCATACCCAATGCTGAGGATAGATGAAATGGTGGAGAACATAGGGCAAGCTAGCTATATCTCCACATTAGATCTAACGAAAGGCTACTGGCACCCTTAGCACCCGAGGACCAAGAAAAGACTGCATTCGCCACCCCATGGGGCCTATTTCATTTCAGACGCATGCCATTCAGCTTACACGGAGCTGCTGCAACATTTCAGCGGCTAATGGACAGAGTACTGGCGCCGCATAGGACATACGCTGAGGTGTATATAGACAATATCACTGTGTATACTACAGATTGGCCTGGGCACTTAACAGCACTGCGGGTGGTATTACAGGACTTAAGGAGGGTAGGGTTGACCGCCAACCCAAAGAAATGCACAATTGGAAAGGAAGAGACACAGTACCTGGGGTTCCAGGTAGGCAGTGGGAAAGTAAGACCATTGGTGGATAAGGTGGAGGCCATAAGGGAGTATCGAGCACCGCGAACGAAGAGGCAAGTGAGGGCCTTTTTGGGAATGGCAAATTATTATAGGAAATTCATCCCTCATTTCGCAGAGGTAGTGGTGCCTTTAACCAAAATAGTAAAGGCAGCGGCCCCGAACAAAGTGAGATGGACACCAGAAGCAGAAACAGCATTCCAAAAAGTGAGGGAGGCGTTCTGTACACAACCACTACTATATACGCCAGACTTCAGTAAACCATTTGTGGTGGTGACCGATGCGTCCAACTGGGCTATCGGGGCGGTATTGGCCCAAATGGTGGAAGGAGAAGAACGTCCAATAGCATACATCAGTAGGAAGCTGCACCCTCCAGAAAGAAATTATGCTACCATAGAAAAAGAACATTTGGCAATCAAATGGGCCATAGAAATGCTCCAATATTATCTGTTAGGGCAGAAGTTTATGTTAATCACAGACCACGCTCCGCTGCAATGGCTACAGAGGATGAAGACTGATAACGCAAGGTTAATGAGATGGGCCCTCAGTCTTCAACCATACTGCTTTGAGGTGGAGCACCGTCCTGGAAAAAAAAAAGTAAGTGCAGATTTTTTTATCAAGACAATATGGAGAGGAGGAGGGTCCAGAGGAGAAAGGAATACCCCAGATGAAAGAGAAGAGGGGGGCATGTATAACAGGGAACCCTAACCCTGTCACTAGGCAGTAGACCTGCACCTTTAAGACAAGGACTTTCTGGGCCCGGAGTACTGGTGTAGAAGTGGGTAAGGACAGGTTCCGGCCCACTAGTCAGCCAACCTGAAAGGGGCTGGATAAGAAGCCAGAGCAGAATGACAGAAGGGGAAGGAGTGCCCCTTTGAGAGCTCCACAGAGAAGCTGGTGAGTGGCCCAAAGGCGGGAGCTATGAACTTGTGGAATGACAGCAGCTTTGTTTTACCAAGGTTGGCTAGTGTGGGGGGGACTGCCCGTACCGGGGCAAATCCCATAAAATCCCACACGGTGCGCCTTGGGGAAAAGGGGAGCAGGAGGCACCTTAAAACCTCCGCCTTTATGTATTCCAATGGTGAAGGAACAAGAGCCCGGACCGGAGAGAACGGAGATAAAAGATGTGCGGTGGAGAAAAATCAAGACCTGGCCCAGTGAGTCTGAATCTTATGGGGGGAGGTGTGTAGCAGGGCACTAAGGTGCCTGCTACTGGGAGAGCCGGAATAGCCACTCAGGTGGCAGTTGCCAGGACAACCAGAGGGAGCCAGTGTCCCCCACCTGCTAGCGGTCAGCTGACCGGAAGGGGAGGGCCTGGTTCCCATTTAAACACCAGAGCTGAGGCCAAGGGGGCAGTACACTGCCAGCAGCTAAGAAGGAAGGAGCTCTCTCATGGAAGGGAGGAGCAGCCTGAATGCAGGAGCAGCATCTAACACTGCTGCTGGATGGCACCCGGTAGGCTTGAGCAGGGTTAGAGCTGGTTGGCTTAAGTTTTTATGTTATAGCCAAGTGGCTTGCGTTTGTGTTGTCATTTAATACCAGTGGTTTGGGTGAGGCTATTAGGGGTTGGAGGAGGCCTGATTGTAGGGACCCACTCCTGAGCGGGATCCCCGGCGCCAGTGAGGGCGCAGCTTTTGGGAGCCTGGACCCCGGTGCCAGTGAGGGCGCAGCTTGTGGGACGACCTTAAAAAGGGCCAGAGAGGCCTGGAGCACCTGGGAGGGGGGGGTGCAGTTGTTTCTGTTGTTTGGACAGGTGGAGTCACACACAGGTTTTGAATTTGTGACCCCTTTGACTGTGGGGCCAGCACTTGTGCCTCTGGGCCGGGGGGGTGTCATGCCTCAGAAGGGAGCCAGAAAAGAGGCCAAGAGCCTCCAGGCACTGGAAGGAAGAGCTAGAGCCTCGGAGTCTAACCCTGTTTGGTGGGTTTGGATGGAGAGGTCTAGCTAGAGAAAAAATGGGTCAGAACCTTATAGGAGAGACCCCAACATACCCAATATAATCAGCAGTCTCCTGCTCGCATACTAATTCCATCAAGACGTGGCAGGCGAGGTTAGAGCGGGACAGCAGAGGTCCAAGAGGACTCCAAGGGTGCCCCACATAAGGTGCAGATGACCCGGAAGATGGCGCTGGGGAGGGCGACATGTCACATGCTCAAGCATGCTGCAGCGTCACATGCATTCAGCGCCCCACATTTCAAAATGGAGACAGGGACGTTGTTGAACAAGCCTTAGTTAAAGTGCCCCCAATGCCATTTTGAAATGCAGGATGCTGAATACATATGACACGGTAGCATTTTAATTAGAGCGGTTGTCCAGGAGCCACTCTAATGAAAACATCCCCACCACCCCCACCCTGGAACATGTGTATAGACACCCAAACTTTCTCAGAGCTGGAAAAACAACAAAAAGTGCAGCTCTACATAGTTCACCTATTTACACATTGTTACAGTATTTTTCACTGAAGTGTGGAGAGTTCCAAAGTGAACAGAATGTTCATGTGGCGTCTTTAACACAGGACGCTAGTTGAAGATCCTTTAACTCAGTATCTGATATGAATGATACGAGTGCTGAACATGCTAGCAGTTGCTTTGCAGCCATACATACAAACCATTAGGAAATTTTTAGAAAGGAGATCGTTAGATTTTTTCATTTTTAAAATGCTATACTAATAGTATCTTTCTCTTGCCTCCAACAAGTAGTTTTTACATTGCAAATCTATAGAAATACATGGAATGGTCTTCAAAAGATATTTGCAAATGTTTTAAATTTAACTCCTTTGATTAATCCATTATAGCTATGGAATCCCTCAGCCTTATCAGGCTCTTAACCTGGGGGTTATGGCACATTCCTGGAAAGTGGGAGATATGGATTAAAACCTTCTCAGGCTTAGGAGGTTTGAATCCAGGTCTTCCAGTTCCTGAGAAAGTACCCTAACCACAAAGCTATTGGGTAGAAGGTGAGTGGTCCAACAAAGTGGATGGGTAATATAAGTACATCTAATGCACTGGGTCCTTCAAGGGGCTTAGGCACAGGCTTCTAGTATATGAATCCCAAACTAGCCTTAGGATTCAGGTGCTTATCTTTCAACAAAGCAGATGCTTGGAGCATGTGTAGCAGTCATGATTTTTCATGGCCTGTGCCTCTTCTTACATAAGTATTAGAATGCATAGATCTTTGGTGAAATACCTAGGACTTCACATCCATGTAAACTTTTGGGCAGGACTTAGCTTAAGCACACATTAAGGACAAATGAAAATTCAAAAAGGATCATATGTTTAATTATATTTTGTGTGGGTTTTATGTAATATGCAAATCACTATTGTTCTGACTATTTGTATGTGCTTATGAAGTCCTGGTACGTTTTGACACTTATACTAAACATAGCTAGGCATTGTAGTTTACCTACTATGCATGGTTGTGATGTCTTCCATTTTGATTGATATCCACATGGACACATGTATGGTAAACTTAAGTATTTTTTATATTCACCACCGGAACGCTTGAGTGTTATAAGGCTCGGTTTCCTAGGTGCATCTGAGAGTGCCTATCCAGTCAATCTGGATCTTGACTCTCTTGACCACAATGTTTTTTTCAGTCTTATTGGTTTCTATGTCCTCAGCCCTTTAGTAGATCTGTCTATAGCTGTGTATGTGTGGATTATTTTGTGTCTCATGACAGTCTTCAAGCTTTTAATGTGGGAGTGTCATTGGTTGAATTTTTTCAAGTGTAATTTTTGTTTTGCTGACTGTGGGAGGCTATTATTGTCTTACACCTAGACAAAAGCTCTTGGTGAAAGGATAACTTGGTTGGCAATTTTTAAAAGTAGCTGTTATGCAGAGTATAAATAATTAAGATATTGTACTAACCTTATATTAGCAGAAAACTATGCTGTATAAAACAAGCAACATAAAAGCCTAAATGCTGCTTAACTTCAGGAGTAAAGTTGTGGTCCCAGACATACAACATCCTCTTCCTGTTGGATGGCTTATGTGACCCCCTGCATAGTGCACTGGTTACTGTGGATCCTGAATAAAATGTGCTTAGATGTCTTATTCAAGTTCTTCTTTCTGAATTCTTCCTATAGGTGCAGATTCCAAAATTTAGGTGCAAAAATACATGGTATTGCTGAATCTAAGAATCTTAATAATCAAGTCCCATGCATGTAAATTCTGACTAAAAGGTGTATAGTGCACATAGTCCTTTTTAAAACTGGGCTCTAGCCAGATTTAACAAAAGCCTACTTAATTCTAAAGAATACTCACCAAAATCTGTAGAATGCCACAGACTCCTACAAACCATACTGTTGACAGCCCTGCTAATTGTAGTTCGTATTATTTTAAAACACAAATATATATTTCCAGTAGCATAATTTGTAGGGGGATGATCCAGGCACCAGCTCTGGACACTGATTTAGAAGGGCAACAGAATGGCAGCTTTAGGTCATGTTGTGGGAGCTTGTGCCAAAGCAGCATCCCAGGGCCAGTGTGAAGAGGTGAGCACTCCTATGGTAGCCCAGGTGCCAAAATTTAAAGTTATGTTTCTATATATTCCCTTAGGGGAAAAATGAAGGCAGAAGCTTTTCAAACTTGGGAAAGTTCAGACTGGTTATCCCAACAGACAGAGTTTTGCAATTAGGGCTAGGGACAGAAGTTCCCCACAAAATGGTTTAAGTGATCAGAAACTGGTATAAACCTGTAACAGAACAGAAATTCAGTGCACATAAACCAGTTTCAAAATGACTGAAACTAGTTAAAGATAAACCTGGTTGGATGTAGTATCAAACTTCACTGATTTAGGTCAAACCAGTTTACAGAACTTCTGCCCAGACCCATTCCTGGTTTGAATTAAATCTAATTCCCCAGCATCCCAGCATGCTTTTCAGCCCTGGGCTGGGATGTGCTGTCTGCTCCTGAGAGCAGGGCTGACACCACCCCTCTGCTTTCTAGCCAGAGCAAAGGTGGGGATGTGACTAGACTCCAGTTGGCATGGCCCCCTAAAGGGGTTTATTCCTCTTCCCTCCCCTCTTCCCCTGGGGAACCGCAGCCAGAATCTGCCTGGCCAGGGCAGAGCAGCCCCTGTCATAGACCACCCCGCCTCCCCCCGCCAACTGCTCCAGCGGCAGAAGCGGGGGTGTGGCCAGATGCCAGTCGGCTTGACCCTGCCATTAGCCCACCTTGCCTGAGGCTGGGACTGGGGCTGCGGGGCTGAGTCGGCCTGGCCCGCAGGTGCTGCAGAAGGTGGGCACGGAGGGGCTGGGCCATGGGGGCAGGGCCCTTTCCAGCTGCCTGTGCCACGGGAGCTGTGCACAGGAGGGGCTGGGGCCACGGGAGCTGTGCACCCAGATTGCTCCCAGCTCCCTGAGTCCAGGCTGTCATGGAGCCACAGCTGGCTGGAAAAGGCCCTGTTCCCATGGCCCGACCCAGGCTGGCACCTCCGTGCCTGCCCTGAGCAGTGCCCACAGCCAGCCCCGCTCAGCTCCAGGCAAGGTGGGCAGATAGCGGAGCCAGCCTGGGCCAGACCACAGTGGCAGAGTCCTTCCCAGCCAGCTGTGGCTCTGTGACAGCCCAGCCTGGTGTGCATGGGCAGCAGCTGGCTGGGCAGCAGTGCTTTATTACTGAAAATGCTTTATTACTTTCCTGGTGAACCATTGGTCCCTACCTACCACATTTATGTCATCCATGTACACAATGCACTTAGTCTTTCTTCTGCTTCCTCCCAGTATTTAGATTACTACCACAATGGCAGAATTCTTTATTTACTCTACTAGAGGTTCTATCGCACAGATGAAGAACAGTAGGGACAGGGAGCACCCCTGCCTCACCCTCGAGCTCTTTTCTACTGGCTCCTTCAGGTGTCTGTTTATTAAGACCTGACTTTTTGCACCTGCATATAACATCTTCAACCAACTGAGGAATCCTGCAGAGATGCCTAGCTTTCCCAGCATTTGACATAGGAATTTGTGATTGACCCTATCAAGGCTTTCTTTTTGTGTTTAATATTGTCAGGTTTAGGTTTCTTTCTTTGCAGTATTGCATGGCATCTCTTACTTGTATCGTGGCCTCATTAATTTTGCTCCAGTGGACTGCCCATACTTGAACTTCTGTTAACATTTTCCAGATTACTTCTTCTAGTCTGTTCACATTACTTTGGCTAGAAGCTTGTAATCAAAGTATAACAAAATCATTGAGCGCCAGTTCCTTATCTGGGTTTTACCCCCTTTCTTGAATATCAGGGTTACTATTCCTTCTTTCATGCTTTTTGAGACTTTTCCTTCTCTCCTCTTATTGTAAACGTCTATCAGGTCTGGTCCCAGTTGGTCCCAGAAAGTTACTTAGAATTCTTTTGGCTGTCCGTCTTTTCCCATTTTCTAAAACTTCTCAGGGTGTCTCAGACAGACAAGGTTCCTTGGGTGAATCTGATCTCTTTTATTAGACCAACCCAAATACTTGGAAAAGAATTATTAAGCAAGCTTTCAGGTTCAAAAACCCTTTGTCAGGATAAGGAAGTTTCAGCAGTTGGTGTGTGCTCTTCCTGGATAGATTGAAAAGTAAAGAAGCCAGTGGCTGGGCTGGTATGCATACAAAACAGGTAGTCAGTGAAAATGTAGATTGAGGAGTCAATGGGTGAGAGACAGGCTGGGAAGTGGGGGGGATGAAAGTGGAGAGATACCTGGGTAGTCATGTCAGGCAGGTTATAATGTATCATAAATCCAATGTCTGTATTTAGTCCATGATTTTTAGTATCCAGGAAGTTGATGAAGTGGAGTTCATAGGCTCGTCTCTGGGAAGTGTTTTGTAAGTTTACTTTGAGGATCAGGACTGAGAGATTGGAGAGAGAGTGGTTTTCTTGTGAGAAATGTGCCCCCACAGGTAACTGGGTATTCCTGTCTTTGATAGATTTCCAGTGTGCATTCATTCTGGTGCACAGTTGTTGTTTGGTCTCTCCTACGTATTTTCCATCAGGGCATTTGGTGCATTGGATGAGATATATTACATTTCTGGAGGTGCAGCTGTAAGATCTGGGATGCTGATGGCTCTGTTGTGGGGTGTAGTAATAGTGGGGGTGGTGGAGTTATGTTGGCAGGTTTTGCATTTCTTGTCATG